GCTTTCCACATGAGTTCGATCAGTGTGGCGATTGTTTGTGTAGTAATAGTGACGCGGCACACCTGGCCGCGATAGACTCGCTTTACAGTGATATTGTAACAGCGTTACAGGAGGCTGCTGTGGTCAGCTATGTTGGTCGTTTGGGAGGTGGCAAACCACATTGCGGTCGTTCTATTGTAGGTTGGAACAAGTATGTTCGTGACGCTCACAGGAACGCTAGGCAAAAGTATCTAACCTGGGTATGTGATGGTCGGCCTAGTAGTGGTACCATTTTTAATGAAATGTATGATTCGAGAAAAATTTTCAAAAGCAAATTAAAGTATTGTCAGAATAATCAGGAGCAAATAAAAATGAATATTTTAGCTTCAAAACACAGGAATAAAGATTTTAGGGGATTTTGGCAACAAACAAAACAACTAAGTCCAAAGCCTAGCGTCCCTGTGAGTGTTAACGGCATCAGTGAACCACGGGATATAGCGAACATGTTCAGATGTCACTTTCAAGTGGAGTCTCCGCTAAAAAGTACGCAGGTAGTGGATGAGGAGGTCGAGGTGTCGGAGGTGCCGGACCGCGTCACAGCTAAGCAAGTTGCTCTAATGATAAAAGGAATGACGCGAGGGAAGTCTCCTGGACACGACGGCCTTAGCATTGAACATTTTCACAATGCGGGGCCACACCTACCGAGACTCTTAGGGCTGCTGTTCACGCTATGCATTAGGCATTCCTATCTGCCAAATGAGCTAATGAAGACGGTGATAGTGCCTATTATAAAAAATAAAACTGGTGATACTTCCGACAAGTGCAACTACCGTCCGATATCATTAGCTACAACGACATCTAAGGTGCTTGATGGCCTGCTTGAGAGACAACTTAAAGAGCATCTCCACCTACATGACGCTCAGTTCGGCTTCAGACCAAGACTTTCGACTGAATGCGCAATTATGTCTCTCAAACAGACTGTTAGGTACTACACGGATAGGAACACGCCTGTGTATGCAGCCTTTCTTGATCTCACTAAGGCATTTGACCTGGTTAGATATGATATTCTTTGGCGTAAATTAAAAGACACAGGTATGCCGGGTGGGTTGATCAATATTTTTAAATATTGGTATGAACACCAAACTAACCGGGTTAGATGGCTCGGTGAGCTTTCTGACGAGTACAGGTTGGAGTGTGGAGTGAGACAGGGAGGGCTAACTTCTCCTTCTCTCTTCAACTTGTATGTGAATAGGTTGATTGTTGAGCTGAGCGACACAAGGGTCGGCTGCTCGATTGATGGTCACTGCATCAACAGTATCAGTTATGCAGATGACATGGTATTGCTAAGCCCATCAATCGCAGGTCTCAGAAAACTAATAGGTGTATGTGAGAGGTACGCTTTGTCACACGGACTCCTGTACAATGTTAAAAAGAGCGAGCTCTTGATCTTTCAAGCTAGGCGTCGTAAGCTGGGAGATGTGCCACGTGTGCTGCTAAATGGCGTCGCTCTAGGCAGGGTAAATGCGTTTAAATATCTTGGCCATGTGGTTACCGAGGATTTAAAAGACGATGCTGACATCGAAAGGGAAAGGAGGGCGATGGCGGTCCGCTGTAATATGCTGGCACGCAGATTCGCGCGGTGTAGCTTTGGAGTAAAGATAACTCTCTTTAAAGCCTTTTGCCAAACTCTATACACTTGCAATCTGTGGGTCAACTACACGCAGCGGGCCATCAACGCTCTCCGAATACAATATAATAACGCATTCAGGGTGCTGGTGGCGCTCCCGCGCTGCTGTAGTGCGTCTGCGATGTTTGCCCACGCGCACACGGACGGCTTCCACGCCGTGCTGCGACGTCGCATCGCCTCACTGATGCTCCGTACGCGGGGGAGCGCCAACACCATCCTGAACGTGCTCAGCGATAAGCCTGACAGCCCCCTTCTGTGGCACTGGTTACAAATGCATGTGCCCGGTGCCCCAGAGGGTGGCAGATACATGAATTAAACTATAGATTAATTTTATTCAAGTAATTAATATATTAAAGAATCGAATTAAGTTATATTGAATTGATTTAAATTGAATTAAATTTTATTTTTATTTTTGATTTTATTGTAATTTAATTTTGGGTATAGATTTGATCTTAGTTTTGATTTAATTTAATTAAATTTATTTAATGTTCTCAATTACTAACCTAATATAAGTCACACTAACTACTTATGGATCTTTGATATCTGAAATAAAGAATTATTATTATTATTATTATTATTAAGACATCCTCCTTTTTACAGTCGGCTAAAAAGAGTTGCGTTTACAATAAAACTTTCGCTCAATCACTGCGGATCCCACAACCATTGTTACTATAACGTTACTATAACCACAGCTACTGTCTGGGAGTCCACTACGCTCGCGCGTGTTTACAAGCGCGCATGTTTTTCTTTAAAAAATTAAGAGCATCGTCTAGCTATAGCTAGGCGACATCTACCCGGCGCGTGATGCCGCGCATGGGTTTATTTTAATTCAAAGCGTAACGCAGAATGCACGCACCGTAAAAGTACATTCGATATAAATTATCACTTTATAGTAATTTATTATTGACGAGCATATTTGTGTTTATAGAATTCAATTGCTATACTCCATATTACGGACCAATTATTACGTGTTTCATATTGATTGCTGTTGTAGTCACGTTCGCAATAAAAGGAGAGTAGGAGTTAGTTTTTCTTTTTACATTTGTTTTATTTGGATCCGTAGGTTGAGCGTAATTGTGTTTTCTGATTTGGATTATAGGTTATATTGAATAATTTATTATGTCCCTTCGTTACTTTGAAATACAATATGGTATATAAGAAATAAATTCTAACAACGGAGATGTTGGTCAATAATAAACTAACAAATAATCCATTACAGCATGACTGTGCAATGTTGAGCTTGAGCAGTACCATAAAGGCGCTGCGTTTACCGGGAATCCCGCGGCGAGTGCGACGATCGCACATGCCCGCTACGTGTACCCGTCACGGAGTCATGGCGTGGGAACCCGCTTTAATTTAACAAGATTAATATTAAATATGATTAATATTTATTCATATTGACGATGTGCTTTCAAATAAAATACTATATTTCCTTTGAAAATGGAGGGACAAACAGGATGTTAGTAAATAAAAACTCTTGTTTTGAACCAACTTATTTTATTTAAAACAAATTAAACAACTACTTATTATTAAATATTTAAGATTTAGCTATAGCTGAAAGTTAAAAATTTTAAATAGACGAATAAAAATATTCCAACTAAAAATTATAATACAGTTTATGTAGGAAGAAATTGCTTGGTAATATGATATCCTCAATTTCTAAATTCTATTTTATTTCTAAAAATAAAATATGTAGTATCTAGCACACCAACCCACGCACTTTTTCTTCAAGTTGTAATAACAATTATATAAAGGGATTTTTAATACAATATTATTTGACATTAATTAATATCCAAGCTTTTTAAAGATTATAATATATCATAGTCAAACATAAAATAATAATCACTGTTGCAATGTCTATTATGTAGTTACGTGGAAATAGCAATAACTATTTTTTCAACAGATTAGCGAAAGAGGTGGTTTTCTTTATTTTTTATATAATATTTCTAACTAGTTTGCTCGTTTTGAATAAATTGCAAAATTTAATAAACTTTTTGAGGCACTTAAACTTATTAGATATGTATCACAGTGATATGTGTGATATATTGGACGCTGCTTTCATTAGATATTTATAATAGCTTAACCTAAAATTAAACATTTAAGCAATTTTAAATCTGGTACGTCTCTGTAAAGTTATTTCTAGATAATATTTAGTATTATTATATATGAATCGACGGAATTCTCGGAACTCCAAAGTTATGCAGTATTGGACTATGAATGGACCTATATATATATATATATATATATATATATATATATATACCATACTAACATATAGAATATTATACTTAAATACTGACTCACAAGTTTCCGAAATTTAAAAACATCTTTATTTGTTCTCTTTAAAAATAATTTTATGCGATCTTAATATAATAATAATATTTAGTTATATATTTTATTATATAACTAAATATTAAATTATATATAAATATATATATAATTTAATATTTAGTAGATATTACATATCATATAAAATCTTTTATATTAAAGCATTATCTCCGGTTAAAATAATTATTTCGGATTTAAACAATAAACAACAGCTAATTTAAAACATTTTTAAATTGCAGTGCATGTTAATGCAAATGACGCGAACAACTGGAAATGTGACGATTTTTTTAAGATATTATGATGATAATAAAAGTGGCAATAATGATGATGACGATTAGTCACTATTTAAGCTAATTAATTTATTATATATGGTGTATATAAGATATTTTATGGATCTGCCTAGTAGCATTCACAAAAAAATTTTGACAGGATTTTTGTCCTTATCTATCATCTACTTTGTACTATTAAAATAGTCCCATCAGAGTACTGCCGAAAGTTGCATCAACAGGCCTGAGCACTTGCATATAAAAAAAATTGCAATGAGACGTAATAATTAAGGCACAGAAATGCATTTTATTTATAATTTTAAAACTTAGGCTATTTGTACGCATTTTAATATTACTTCTACTATTTTAATTTATAAGTAATATTATTAGTTTTTATTCTAACTTACATTTCAAGTTGAAAGCTTATGTTTAAAATTGTATACATATTATGTTTGTAGAAAGCAAACAACTTAATATACGACACATCATATTAACATTCCAATACTACTTTTGGGTTTGTCATTAAATATGTGTACCAATATATAAAGGTATATTTTAAGGGCACACAACCAGCACAGAAATAATTTTTCCAACAAATTACAGATACATTTTATATACGCCTCTGTCCTGAAACATATCTTCCCTTATTCTACAATTTTATTGTATCATAAATTCCATCTTCTTCATCACAACCATCAGTCTCTAGTTAACGTTCTATTCAATCAAATTAAATTAATAAATCATTTATTTGTCATATGCTCAAAACCACATTTGGGAGCGTAAGCAGATTTACATGTGCGTCTTGTTAGATAGGCCTTACCATCTTTAATAAAGTCACCACAAACTTTTTCTACGTCACATGGAATTTCTTCCAAATTGGGAATCCCCTTACAAATGTCACCAACAACTCCGTTAGCATCGCTACATTTCTTTGCTATTCCATTCGTTTTGATATTATTTTGAATCCCATTTAATATTGCTTTATTTTCTGTATTTTTATATTCCTTGTCCTTTTTTAACTTATAATTTTTAACGTAAAAGTTTAAGAATAAGATAAGGAATATAGTGACATTGGCGGAGATAAAGTAGGTGAAGCCGGGCACATATTGACAGCGCGGTGAGAAATGTGTCCACGCACAATAAGACAGCATAAGGACAAATTGAACCTGAAATTAAAACATGATATTAAAATTTTTAACATTGAAATAATTTTTCTATAGTAGAACTCCTTACTACTCTGCTTAAGAGACCATCTAGGTAGGTTCATCCTATCACCTATTTCTACCAACAAATAACTATGCTTGCACTACTGTGTCACTCTATGTCTAGTCTAAAGGTAAGGGTAGAGCCAGTATAATTAGTTCCAGGTGTCCATGGGCTGCAGTAGCCACTTACCATCAAGTAGAATTCATTTTTTCACTTTGGTTTTAAAAACTAAACTTTAACAAGTTTTTTTTTTATGGGATAGGGTGACAAACGAGCACACAGTCCACCTGATGGTAAGTGGCTACTGTGATCCATAGACATCTACATCTATCATCAATAAAGAATCAAGATGCAGATGCGTTGCCACCCGTGAGGACTAAGATGGAATGCCTCTTTGCCAGTAATAAGGATCTCCGGTTCTCTACACTCACCATACGAAACACAGCAGCGTTAAGCTGCTATTTTACGCTGGTTTTCTGTGAGAGCGTGGTCCTTCCCCGGTCGAGCCGACCCATTCGTGCTACAACTATACTACTAATATAGCCGCAGCATGGCTCTACCACGTGATCTGTGAGAGCGTGGTCCTTCCCCGGTCGAGCCGACCCATTCGTGCTACAACTATACTACTAATATAGCCGCAGCATGGCTCTACCACGTGATCTGTGAGAGCGTGGTCCTTCCCCGGTCGAGCCGACCCATTCGTACAACAACTATACTACTAATATAGCCGCAGCATGGCTCTACCACGTGATCTGTGAGAGCGTGGTCCTTCCCCGGTCGAGCCGACCCATTCGTGCTACAACTATACTACTAATATAGCCGCAGCATGGCTCTACCACGTGAAAAAGTTTAGTTAGCAAAGTCATCAACAGTGAAATTCATTAAATAAAAAGCGTAATTGTTTTCCTAATCGATGTGTTTATCTACCAAGAAGATTTGCGAAATCGAAGCCGCCATATACATATTTTTTTTCTTCTCTGTTATGTTTTACCTGCCATTTTCAAACAATATCTTACCTTTTGAGCAATGTTCTCATTCTTATTAAAAAGTATATAGCACTAAATGGTAGAGCTCCTTACCATCTAAAAGTGTTAGGTTGGTACCTCCTTTGCCAAACAAATAATATAAACAATAATATATACATTATAGTATATTGTATTTTGATTTGAATTTGAAGACGTGGTAGAGCCAAGCTGCAGCTATATCTATAATATAGTTGCAGCACGAATGGGTCGGCTCGACCGGGGAAGGACCACGCTCTCACAGAATACCAGCGTAAAATAGCGGCTTAATGCTGCTGTGTTTCGTATGGTGAGTGTAGAGAGCCGGAGACCCTTTTTACTGGCAAAGAAGCATTCCATCTTAGTCCTCACCGGTGACAACGCATCTGCATCTTGAGTCTTTATTGAGGATAGATGTAGATGTCTATGGGTCACAGTAACCACTTACCATCAGGTGGACTGTGTGCTCGTTTGTCACCCAATTCCTATAAAAAAAAGAATGCAAGAGAATTAGTACGATTAGTGGCTATTAGGCATTTCATCTCAGATTTTGATGAGTTATAAGGTATACGCGAACTTTCTTGTTTAAAGGAAAATTGATTTGTCCATAAGGTGCATACCCACATAAATGTGTCTACAATCAAAGATACCATTAGCACGTTTTTCAACGTAATATATTATATGAAATTAAAAAAAATTAAAATTGCAGCACAGTTAGTTTCTCGTCTGTACTACTAAACTTAAAACTGACGTCTATATTTGGGTAACCAAATTTTATATTATTTATTAGCTACGCCATATAATTGCGGCGTTAGATAATCTAATACCCCATAGTATCACACAGGTGTCGTAAAAGGCAACAAAGTGAAATCAAACAGGGGATGAACAGCAACATCTTCCTGAAACCAACTTATAGTCATAAAATACAAAGAAAAATCTCTGTTGCAGATAGAAAAATGGACATAGAAGTGATTTCATAAGTAATTTAACTCGAAACAATAAAACTGACCACAAATAAAACATTTGTTATTGTGCCGTACTTACCAATTGCATTGTTGTTACATACTTCTTCCACCACAAATACTTATGAAACTGCGGTCCGAGTCCCGATAAGAGATAGTATGTGTACATAACCACGTGGACAGTAGAATTAAGGAGGGCTAGTACAGCACCATCACCAGCTGCAGCGAACTTTAAATAACTCCAAGAGTAAAGAGCCATGATGACGTGGTGATAAACATGTAGGAACGTCAGCTGTAAAATATAAATAAAATAAATCAGAATTTTGCCACGTCTATTTTAATTTCATTAAGAATGATTGTTTCTAGACCATAATAGAAAGATAGTTTCCGTATTCAATGTTAATTACCTGTTTTTCCTTCTTTCTTAAAACGAAAAACACAGTGTCGAGTAACTCCGTAAACTTGGCAAAGAAGTACCACCATCCCAGATCCAGGAGCTTAAAAAATTAAAACAAATTAATTAACGATTCATTATACACACATCTACATTATTGGAATTGGACACCATTGAAAACTTAACAGACAGTATAATTTTCTACGGATATGTACCTACTATAAAAATATTGTATTTAAACAAATATTATTAGAAAGCATAATGTGTGAATACTTTAAATTAGATTTAACTAAATTATTCTACTAATTATTCTGTGGTTTCTTCATGTAGAAAAAATGAATAAAGAAAGAGTGACGAAGCAAATTTATGTCGCAGAAGTGTAAAGCAGAGTTGGCAAGGGATGCCGGTATATTGAAGATAGAGGCTAAATTAAGAGTACCCATATCCGAAGAGCAGGTATGCGTAGGTAATAAGGACGTGATAAAGGCTGGATAGGTATGTCAGGATCGTGCTAAATGAAAGTGCGTGGTCTCTGCTTACCCCTCTGGGCAACAGGCGTGAGAGTTATGTATGTATGTATGTATTTTACGATAACAAAACTAAATACAACATTGATCTCACCAATGGATTTTGAGTATTTGATTGATATCGGCAACCCGCGTATATTATTCCATCCCGGAAAAGGTTTAATTGAGAGACCTGAAAATTGAAAAAAAAAATTAAAAATCATGCAATTTCAGCGCATGTTAAAAATAATAATATTGTAGTTTCGACACCAGTTCCAGTGCGTCAAGTACTCTTGGCACACTGACTAAGCGGGAATACTTGCAATGTAACAAAATTGATAGACAGGAAAATTACAGATGTTGTATTTAAAACTAGCTGTGCCCCGCGACTTCGCCCGCGTGTAATTTAATACGATTTCATGTATATCAATTTTTATTACCATCTTATAAATATTGACAAATATTGACATTAATAGATATTTATACGATACTAACGTCACTCAATTGCTTTGCCTTTCCGGAACCCCTCCACTAACACTTAAATTTTATGGTATAGTATTAAAGTTCAAATTGACTTTTAAGTATTATTACGAATCTTTTGTACGGGAATATAGAAAAATGTTGTTTTTAGACTTTTTCAGGCAATTTTATAAATTTTACTCTCCGTAAGAACCATCTTCGCGCTTCAAGAAATATTATACAAAAAGAATTAGCGAAATCGGTTCAGCTGCTCTCGAGATTTGCGCTTACGAGTAGCAACATATTCAGGGATCCATTTTTATATTATAGATTAGACTTTACAAAGAACTTTTTCAATGTCAAAGTTACGCCTTCACTTTAAAAAGTTTCAATTGCGATATATCTTGTAACATGAATCGCCAGAAATATCAAAGAGCATTGCTCTCCCAAAAATTCAAGTTATACGGGTGTCTTTAAATATTATAATAGTTTTAGTTTAGTGATCGTGCAACTTTTTTTACATGGTAGAGCCATGCTGTAGCTATATTAGTAATAAACCTAGTTGTAGCACGAATGGTTCGGCTCGACCGGGGAAGGACCACGCTCTCACAGAATACTAGCGTAAAATAGCAGCTTAACGCTGCTGTGTTTCGTATGGTGAGTGTAGAGAACCGGAGACCCTTTTTAGTGGAAACGGGGCATTCTATCTTAGTCTTCACGGGTGATGACGCATCTGCATTTTGATTTGTAATCGAGGATAGATGTAGATGTCTATGGACCGCAGCAACCACTTACCATCATGTGGACTGTGTGCTCGTTTGTCACCCTTATCCTAAAAAAAACTTCTCAACGATATGACCCATTAAGATCATATTCCAACGATATATTTGTTTTGTAGAGACGATGATTCATAGCTATACTAAGATCAGACAGGTGGCGCTGTAGTCAAGTCATGACCAAAATTACTCATATTCACAATAAAGTAATGGCTTAGTGCCAAAATGAACATCTCAATATCTGAATCAGATAGGTGACGCTGTGATAGCGTTATTAGTAAATTTTACTAGGTTGATGGATAAGTTTTCGAAATAGGACATTTATCAATGAGTTACAGAAATGTGTATTATTTTTTTCGAATCTTATATTCGTTAGTAGCCAAGGCCAGAAAAAACTAAATTAAAATTGTACCCAATATTTTGTTTTCAAACTTCACATTTGCCGGGAATTCGATTCGTATATAAAATGGAAAAACTCCAACTTCGTACGGTTATTAAATATTTGTATACTAAATAATTGTGTGTTTTCTGCAAAAATGACTTTAGTAGTACTGCAGTCTACTTTGGTAGACAATGCTCTATCTTATTCTACAGTGGCATACTGATGCGATGAATTTAAACGCAGCAGAACCGCCGTCAATGACGATACTCGCTTCGGGCGGTCAGCAACGGCTGTTACGCAAGAAACTGTTAAGAAAGTCGAAGAAATTGTGACCATTCGTCATTTAGCTGAGATTCTAAAGCTTTTGTTTGGTATAATTCAGTTTATTTTAACTCAATACCTAAAACTCACAAATGTGGCCGGGCGCTGGGTTCCTTGAATGTTAACAGACGTCCGAATGAAAGCAAGATTTGACATTTCAAAGATAAATTTAGCAATAAACAAAAGATCCATATTCTTTTTGCGTTCGTTTCATAACCGTAAATGAAACGTGGGTACACCATCTTGATCCGGAGATGAAAAACCAAAGCCAGGTGTAGAAAAGACAGTCTTCCTCGCCAGCTTAGAGAATCCGCTGGAAAAATAATGGACTCCGTCTTCTGGGATGCGAAATGTAACAATAATCGAATATCTAAGTAAAGGAGTGACAATTACCTGAGATGATAAGGCATAATTAATCAAAAAACTACACGAAGAACTAAAGATAATTGCGTGCTTGAGTGCCTTTTCATCATGATAGTGCTCCTGCCCATCGATCTGATGTTGCAGGCAATGCCATTCGAATTGCTGGGTTTCAATTGATGCAGCACCCATGAAATTCTCCGGACCTAGTTCGGAGTGATTTTCACCTTTTTACTCTCTTGTAACACTTGTAAAATTTGACCTTGCCGACCGTAGAGGCCTTTTTCGAGTGTCAGAGTCAAACCTTTTTTTCCAAGGAAATTAACAAACTTGCATTAGCCCTGAATGTAATTAAGTTGAAAAATAAATACAATTTACATATACTTATCCTAGAGTTTCATAGCGTTTCCAAAAACTTATTGATCAACCGAGTATAATTACTCTGTAAAAGCCCGATATATATACAGAATGAAATTCATCTCATCACTTGCCGGATACAGCGGAACAATGTCTATCGATCTCACTAGTTTTATGTAAACTTATTATACTAGAATTATTTTGTGCGTGCAGTTTGGGTCATAAATCATTGGAGTATTTCGCACTCTCTCCCACTCACGGGCCTTAGGGGCAAACATAGTGATGCGCATTATTGTTGTCGATAAGCGTTATCGATACTTCATTTAGTTTTGTCATTATGTGGGTTAGTGATAAAAATGAAAAAAAAATAGATAAAACAACGTATTTATTAAAATAAGAATAATATTGATTTAAAATAAATTGTAAATTAGGTATCTATGTATTAAGAAACCATAAGTAAAAATGTTTGAAATGTAACAAGTTATATTAAAAATAAATATAAATATAAAGATAATAACTTATATCTAAAATTTATTTTGTTTTTATCGATAATGGCGTTGCGCCCGCACAACATGCTCACCGCCCTAGCCGGGCTGAGGCCGAGCTATGATTTATGAGCCCAACTGCACGCAGGAACTAATTTTACCATAGTCATAAGTTCTAAGAAAACTTCATACTACGTCCAAGCAAGCTTATCAAAAGTCCACAACTGAACACATAGCGGAGATATTTGCCATAGCTGATACGCTTGACAGATGGGTTTGCAACTGCAGATTTCGATTACTCTCACCTCTTCATGTTTCATCACCTCTGTCCCCTATTACGACAGAGGGATAATATGAGGTAGTGGATTCTCTAACGCCGCAACTACACGGTGAATAGTATTATATTTATCATAATTGTATTGAATCCAAACATTCTAAAACTATTAAATACCCATCTAACTAATAATTAAATTTCTTCTTGCGATTTCTATGGCCGCGTAGTGGCGGAAAACGAGAATCGATCACTCCATCGTGTCTCGTTTGTTTCATATAAGGTAATATTTACTAATTGCAACCTGTATCGTAGGGACATATTTTAAATACATAAACATCCAGGCTGAAAACAATTATTTGTAAGTCGTATAGTAATTATTAAGTGTTAGATTCGAACGCGCAGCTCCGGACAGAGCCGTCCAATAGTTTTATTTCTATTTATTTTATTCTACATTATTTTATCAAAATTTTGATATCTTACTTTTATAATATTGATTGCAGCTAACAGTACTTGTGCAGCATTGTAGTAACTTATCAGTTTAGTTATCTTCAGTGGTGCTCTATTCTTCATTATTTTTGGCCCTATCCGGATGAATAACAGGTAAGCGATGACAACAGATATGATCGGTATAGGGCTTGACATCATGAACCACGAGTCCACTATTGCACCTGAAAATCAGTTGATCATAATATGATAATATTTTTTACATTGGTTTTAACTACGACAATTACTTCTGAATACTGTTGAAAGCCATGAACTACGCATTAGATAAATGTATAATGTGTGCGCGCTAACGCCCTTTGCGACAAACTACTTACGTGACCATTCGGCCTATTCAGCACCGGTTGATCGTGACTAATGTCAATACAGGGTTAGGTGAGACGAAATATTAGACACTCCGGAGATTCATAAAATTATAAGTTTCAAATATTAACAATTAAAATTATAGCTCTGACTGAGTTTCAAACTCAGGATCCGCTACGTCATGTTTTTCTTTATAAAATTGAAGTAGGTAACGATTGAATAAATCCAATTCGTGAATATTGGGATGCGAGTGCTGCGGCCCATGAATATATGCAACCGGCTTCAAACAAAGAATATTAAAAATGCTTGTAATTGGCCATCTGTACCCTTCAGTACACAGAAGCGCTCGCACAGGCGCCTTCTAGCAGAAATAGGTAAAAGGGTGGTACCTACCTAGTTAGACTCCTAGATAGTGAAGGTTTCCTACCAACTAGTATTAGTGTCTGGAGAAGCTGAAGTTTGTCCATGTGGTTGAAGAATTCAAACTATTCAAACATTTACTTAGTAACGCCTGTCATATTTTTTATAGCAATACGGTGTTTGCAATGAAAATGTTACAATACTAGGCGTTGATAATTTGTGGTATATTTAAAATCTGCAGCAACTGCAAGCAACTGTAGCTATGCTGTCTAATATCACAGATTATTTTTTTAGTATATTTATTTTCGAGGATTTGTGTACTCTAAAATAACAAAACAAAATATAAAATAATAAATATTTATGAATCAAATCAGTCTCCGGAGAGACAATTCGTGACTTAAAGTTGTTTCCAAATATCTTTGGGCTTTTGGATTTATGGCCACTTCATCATTACATGAGGTGAAATATGTATGCCCGTATGTCATACTCATGTAATAAAAAAAATCACATTATACAGCACATCACTACTAACATTTAGCATCATCATCAAGTCTAAATCACTTCTGAATACGAACGTTAGCATTAAGGAAGCGCCGTAATTGCAAACTGCAGGGTGTTATAGCTGCAGCTACAATAAGTAGCCAGATAGGGAAGGAGCAGACTGGTTCAGAATACAAGTATTAAATAGCAGAAAAATACTGCTTTGTTTCTTTTGGTGAGTAAGGAGAACCGAAGATCCTATTTACCAGCAACGTGTCATACTTAGTCCTCAGGGATGACGACGCAACTACATTTCGATTCTTAATCGGTGACAGATGAAGGTGTCTGTGGGCCAAATAATGCGCTTAACATCTTATTCAATCACAACTTCTCAGTCGGTGACCGGATATTAAGCTTTTCACTTTTTTGATGCCGTCTACCCATCTTCAGTTGTTTAAAATTTAAAGTCTCGCATACGACATGGTTATTCCATCATTGCACTTTTGTTTACCAACTCGACACCTAAATCCGATATAATATTCTCTTAAGAAGCCCACCTCTTAGAACCTATAGACGTGATAACTGAATAAAATAACATAAGTTAAAACAATATTAAAATAACAGGCACTCCATCTAAGTACTTCAGAAGGGACAACGCATCCATGTAGGCAGAGTTCTTAGATTGAAGTTTGTTGCAGAAGTCCATGGGCTGCATTAGCCACGTAATATTATGTGAACTGTGAGTTCGTTTATCACTTGAGTTTTATAAAAAAGATATCCTTCTTTTCTAGTCAGCCGCATTTCATTCGCATTTCACATGTTGGAAAATAGGATGGTGGACGTAAAACTGATACCTTATACCGTCGCCATAGTAATGCTGATCCGCTTTGCCACACAAATAACTTGGATTAAGCTTAATTGGATGGATTTGAACCCCATCATTTGGTTCCCAAATTCTTAATCTATTGACATATTGTTCCTTACACCCAAAAACATAATGATATAGAGTCATAGTATGTTTCTTACCTTTGATGATACATATCCAAACTAAAAAAAATAATTTAAAACAACTGTTATTTTATAAAGCAAACTGGTTACCACTATAATTTGTCTGTTTGACATATTTACTGTTGAGAGATATTTAGTAACTTACAATAGGATATCTACTATTCATTGAGATGTTTTTTCATATTAGTTTAGTTTGGCTATTTGTTAACGGTACATTATGATAGACATTAAAAAGATATCAAGCAAATGTCAAGGCTTACTTACGTATTATTTACGTAGGTAAATGTCCAGTCTATGTCCTTTTAATAAACTACGTAATGTTTTTGGAAGCATACGCGTGTAAAATATATGTGAAAATAAAAGTTATGTACTTACTTTTTCCGACTTTCAAAGAGTCCAAGTAGCCGTCTACTTTCTCCAAGTAACTCATGTTTAAACTTTAATCTGTAATTGAAATAGCAGTTACTAGATTATTTTGTAACTCGTCAACACTATTGTAATTGTTTATTAAATAGGCGTATTACGTACGTCACTTGAATTATTTTTTAATAAAACTCTTTTAAATGCCAGTAACATTATACAGAAGAATGTTTATAAGTGCATAAGTGCAATAACCTATATTTTCGAGCCCAGCCGAAAGCAACATTTTGTGGCAAAAGCAAAAACGCAATTTTTTGGTTTTCGGGTTAGGTCCAAATTGTGTGCGATTGGGTCATTTGTTTGAATCATTGAATTTTCTAGAATACCTCCGCAATGATTTCATTAAAAACGGGTAATTTTATATATTTATGTGGTAAATCAAGAAGTTTATATAAACACTAATGCCCAAGTACTCAAACGCTGCTATGCTGTTTCTATCACTTTACGTCAAAGTGACTGTGACAGACTTAACGACATCTTAAAATTGACTAGCATTTGATTATTTAATTCTAATTTAAGATTAGCATGCCGGAATTACAGGTGAACACATCATTTTTTGCAATTAAATTACAAGGATTTTAACTTTAGTCATTACAGCTGGTAATAAGTTAGAGGCCGCTTATCGATAGGATGACTGTGTTTTCTCCTTAAAGTTTGAAAGGTACTTAGAACGAATGAGGGCCTGCATGTGTTTGCGCATAAACGTGGCACTTTAATATATCTTGCGTTGTTAGTACTTTCCAATTAATCGAAAGTTGTTGCCGTGATCGAAAATCAGACAGAAATCATCGTCATTGCTAATTTTTAATATGAGTTACTAACTTTTACCGGCTACTTCACCCGCGTAGAACTTACACAAAAAAACTGCAGGCTTATTTTATGGTCTTTGGTCAAGGAGTTCAATAATAATTATATCTAGACGTTGAAGCAGGAGATAAACAATTCGACTGTGTGTTTATGTTCAGAACAAATATGATGTGAAGATTCGACGCTCCGGGAAGTCTGCAGTTTGTGAACATGTACAGGATCGCCCCCGTCACTACATTAGATTTGATAGACCACAAATCCTCGCTAAAGAACACAGATTCCTTCCAAGGATGATTCGCGAGGCTATTGAGATCAAAAACATCCTAATTTCAATAGAGAAGTTGGCTGGGTGCTACCATTTGCTTGGGATCCCATATATACTTAATATAATAAAGCGGAAGAGTTTTTTTTTTTGTTTTTTTGTTTGTTTAAACGCGCTAATCTCTGGAACTACCAATCCGATTTGAAAAATTATTTTTGTATGTTATAGCCAGATTCATGTGAAATAGTATAGACTATCTAGCATTAAGCTGTATTACTCAGCTAGCCTTAAATTGGGATATTTGTTAAGCAAGCCAGAAGAAAAAGCACTCCCGAAATGATTTATCCGCGTACGCTGGTGTTATCGTTAGGGATACGTAAATACAATGTTCTAGAAAAATATAGACCTTTACTCCCTCTAAAAAAAGTCCGCGATACCATATGTCTATTTCTTATACATAAGCCATAATTTGGTATTTTGTGACAAAAAAATATTGAAAATTTAAAAGTGATTTATGAGCGTTATTATTAGGCATGGCCTATTTATCCTTACGAACGAAAGTTACTTCATCATCAAGACAATTTTATGAAGATAAACTTTGTTCTTTATACCATGTTATTTGGACGTAATGTAAAGTAAGAGATAATGTAAAATTAAAATAATTCAATACTTGGCCGGGCGCGCGAACGACGCTTAATCCCTAGCCGTTATAAAGTGCTTGAACTAGGTTATGTCGCGCACCTCGGACACGTGATGACGCGGATGAAACCGCGGGGCACAGCTAGTAATTAATAAAATTAAATCCCAACCCAAGCATACAACTAAGACTTCAAGATACTGTAAGTTCATACTGCGTAGATCAGAACAAAAATTAATAATTTTTAATCTGGAGGTAGCCGTGGTTAACTATGACATTGGGACGTCATACACCTTAGTCCCCCCAGGGACCATGGGTGCTGGAAAGTGCTCGAAACATTGGGAATATAAAATAAGTTAATATACGCGATAAAATCCGTAAAATTAATTTTATTTAAATGCTTTAAAATATGATCTGTATATTTTTCTACACACACTTATCAAGAAGAACTACTTCGCATAAAAAAGCCGTGAAACCTAGTGAAATAGAAAATCTTTAAAAAAACGAGTGTCTTTACTTATTTAAATTCATTCATCATCCTTCGTTCATCCTTTCCTATCCTTTTCTTTCCTAAATTTGTCTCTTCTATTTATGTATATTAACCCCTTGAGCAATAAAAATCAAAACGCTATTTTACAGGACGAGCAAAATACAGAAATGATTGAGTTTATTTATTCTATATTCTTTGACATACTAAAGCTATTATGTGTTACTAAACGTTAATATGTTTAGGTCTGAGCAGTTTCATATCAAGGAACTTAAAATAACGCAGCCTGAATAGTTCCAAAAATAGTATGGTTATTATTACTACAAAAGAAAAAAAATGTTGAAACTGGCTTTAAAGACAATTTTTTCAGACTTTATAACTGTAGCCTTCGTTGTTAAAGGCGCTAACAATAGTTTTACGGATTGGAAATTCCTATTAAAAGAAATATGTTATTAAAAAATAAGTGTAATTTTACTGTAGTAATTGCAGTACACATTTTAAAATTAAACATATTATTTAAAAGTGTTAAATTAATTAACCAGAATACTAGTTACTAATTACTTTTTAACATGTTTTTGTTAAGATAAAAAATTCGAATTGATAATACATTAGAAATGATGCACAGATTCATTAAATCAAAAAACCATTCAGTAAATGGTTCTTTGATTGAAACTGCCGTGTTCACTGTGGCATCATGGTTTGTTAATATTAGGCTGTCAACCTCTGGCCCGGTAAAACCAAAATAGAGATGATTATTGGCCCCTAAATAATGTGCAGACGCATGTGAGCGGTAGGCCGGTGTTACGTTGATAACTTTGATTTCGGTCAACACAACATTCGATATCATTCGCTTCAATACAACATGCGTCAAGGTGCAGGTAACCGGTCGAACAGTGTTGCATCTTCAGGCTCGGTGCTAGAAAGTTGATTGGGTGGCGGTGACTATCGTTCATTACAGCTTGTGCAGAGTCAGGTAGGTAAGTGTTTAAGTGTTGCTATGTTGTCAACTTCGGAGTCCGTACTATAAAATTTGCTATAAGTATCATCCACTACAGCGTGTGCAGAGGCAAGGAAGTGTTTGGATGATGATAAGCGATTAATTTCGGGACCAGAGCTATAAAGACGGCGATGAACATCGTTCACTGCTATGGTCTGTGCAGAGGCATGTAAGTGGTCGGGCAGTATTAATGGTCTCTCAATATTAGGTCTGGTGCTGGTGACATGGCAGTTTGCTACGATTAATTTACGAGTTGAGGTAGTGTAGTTGGTAATTCAGTAAAAAATAGACAATCATTTCTTTTGGAAGGACAGTTTCGAAGAATTTATTTCATAATATTCTGGGAGTTTTTATTAATTTTATTTTCTGATGACGCACGAGTACGTCGTGATCCATTGGTTTATATCGCGTGTTTTAACATCACTTTTTTCTACTTTCACGCAGACTTTAGAACTTTTGACACGTGTTTTATATACGTGGTAGAGCCATGCTGCAGCTATATTAATAGTATAGGTGTATCACGAATGGGTCGGCTCGACCGGGGAAGGAACACGCTCTCACAGAATACCAGCGTAAAATAGCAGCTAAATGCTGCTGTACTTTGTATGGTGAGTGTAGAGAACCGGAGACCCTTTTTACTGGAAAAGAGGCATTCCATCTTAGTCCTCACGGGTGACAACGCATCTGCATCTTGAGTCTTTATTGAGGATAGATGTAGATGTCTAAGGGTCACAGTAACCACTTACCATCAGGTGGACTGTGTGCTTGTTTGTCATCCTATCCCATAAAAAAAAAGCTACGACAAGAACGTGCGAGAAAGCTCATGGTCATAAGGTAGTCAAGCTCCATAGACTGTACCGAAACCCGGATTAACATGCAATAAAGTGATGCTATGTGTATGGTGGGATTTGAAGGGCATCGTTTATTATGAGATTTTACCGCCGCGCAAAACCATCGATTTGGATCTCTACTGCCAACAAGTAATGAGACTCAAGCAAGAAATTGAGAAAAAATGGCCGGAATTGACTAACAGAAAAGGAGTGGTCTTTCATCATGATAACGCCAGACGAAACACATCTTTCGCTACTCAGCAAAAATTGAGAGAGCTTGTTTGGGAAGTGACAATACATTCACCATACTGTCCTGACCTTACAACCTCAAATTTTCACCTGTTTCGGTCTTTTCACAATCTCAAGATTTCTACAGCAACGGAATTATGTCACTACCAACATGATGGCAACAAGTTATCGAACAAAATGCCACATATATATTATAATTTAATGTAATTAAACTTTGAAAAAAAAAATGTCTTGAATTTATGTATAAAATACGAAGAGACTTTTTCCCCGACCTTTTATTTTGCAGCACTTAGTATAATTATGATATTCTATAGTAAAACTAAAGTGCGTAATTTTTTCAATTGAATTCATTGAAGTAAAAACCATTTTATACTATATATTATAATGCTATAGCATTAGAAAACCATTTGTAGCAAAAGCCAGTTAATATTTTAGCAATAAATGACCATTTGTTGTAAAAGCCTAAGATACCCTATGTACAGATGACTGTTGTAGTAAAAGCAAGTTGATAACTTAGCAGGAGGTTTATAGATTGAATCTTATCGTAATTATTTATGAATGATAGAAATTCAGATAATATATTTAAAACATAATTTAATGGAAAACTAATTTGTTTACATCGCTAATAATAATAGTTTTACCTACCACTTGCTAGCCTGATAAATTCCAACGCTTGTTTTGTTCGTAAAAGGAAATCTAAAGCACTGTTTATATCATCCATGCTTTTTTATAAGTTACTAG